GACAACTGCAGGAATGGGAGGACCTAGCTCAAGGCCAGGCAGCTAATTTGATTATTGGATGATTAAAGATGTTTAATTATTGGGAGGCAGCTGTGGTGGAAAGTTGAGTGCAGACTAGTGGCACGAGGCCTGGTTCAAATTCAGGGTGTGGGAGGAGCCTCCTGCCAGCTCTGGGCCTCCCCAGATCCAGCCATTCCTGGGAGAGGTGGCAGCCAGGGCCTGGGGCCCCTGGTGACTGAGGTCTGGCCCGGCACTGGCACCAGGGCTGAGTTCCTTCCCGGCTCCTCCAGGGACATCCTCCCTCTGCGTCCTCTCCCAGATCTGTCAGAGGGACAGGGAGAAGGTGAGGCCAGACTCGGGGTGTGGCCGAGGCAGTGGCTGGCTCAGTTCAGCTCTGGAAGTGAGTGCGCTGGGCCTGGGGAGGCAACGGGTGGTTAAAATTCACATTCACCGGGGGCTTTGATCCCAGGGAAGGGTCCAGGGAGGGGCCCAGTGCTGAACCCGAGCTCACCAGGGAGTGGAGGCAGGACACTCCAGCAGAGAGGGCGGGGCAGTGGCTAAGGTGAGAGGGTGGCTCGGGGAGGCAGGGAGCGGCCAAGCTGGAGACACTGGCAGGCCCCTGTGTCCTCTCTCCTGCGTGAGCTTGAGGCTGGGGTTTGGACAGGGCAAAGCAAGGGCTGTGGCAGGATGGACAGGACGGCGATTGGTTAAGCTTAGGGGAGGAGACATGGGGGACTGGGTGAGGTGGGTAAGGGGTGGCAGAGGGAGTTGGGGGCCAGGTTTTTTTTTGTTTTTTTTTTTTGCACTGGGAATTGAATCTAGGGCACTTAAACACTGAGCCCCATCCCAGCCCTTTTTATATTTTATTTAGAGACAGGGTCTTGCTGAGTTACTTAGGGCCTTGCTAAGTTAGGCTGGCTTTGAACTTGAAATCCTCCTGCCTCAGCCTCCTGGAGCCGCTGGAATTATAGGCATGTGTCACTGTGCTCAGAGGGGATGGTGGGGGGCAGTTTTCTGACCCAAGTTCCTGAAAGGACAGAGCAGCCATTCCTAAGTGGGGACACAGAAGGAGGGCCAGTGAGAGGAGGAGGGCCCATGCCTGGGGGAGCTTGGGTGGTGCTGAGAGGGCAGCCCCTGCTCCCTTGGGCCTTCAGTGGACACCACAATGCTCCCACACCAGCTCTTCTTCCCTCCTATCTCTCTTCCGGTCCCCACACTGGCTTCCTGGGATCATCCCCCAAGGAATACTGTCTGCACTCTGCTCCCAAGAAGCCAAGCTACACTTGATCTTAGCCAAAAGGCCCCAAAGGCCAGGAAGCACAGGAAACACCAAGCTACAAGTGTAGCACAGGTCACCAGACCACTGTCCTCCTGAGCCAACCCTGGCTGTGACCTCAGGCCCAAACCCAGGCCCAGGGCAAACAGTCCCCTTTCCCATCATTTTCTCCTGCCCTGCCCCCGCCTCAGAGGCAAGGTGAGCAAGGCCAGAGGGAAGGGAAAGAGCTTGTTCTGGAATGCTGTGGAGGTGAACCGCACTTCCCCCTGGAGTCTCTCCCTTCCCCATCAGGTGGGGCCAGGACACACCAAATGAGCAAAGGAGCCCTGTAGGTTACTTGGAGGGGCCGCCCACAGGGCTGGGGGAAGGCCAAGTGCATGGCCAGCGGGGATCTTGGGCTGTGGAGCTACATGACCAGACCTAGTACTTAGACATACAGACCTGCTGGGGAGCAGACTCACCGTGATAGAGGGAGCTAGATGGCACTTTTAAAACCTCAGGGCTGGGGTTATAGCTCAGTGTGGAGTGTGTGCCTAGCACATGTGAGGCGCGGGGTTCTATTCCCAGCACCATATAGAAATAAATTAATTAATTAATTAAGGTATTGTGTCCATCTACAATTGAATTAAAAATTGAAATAAAATCACTTATATCATTTTCTGTTGCCCAAGTAACATCGTCTTGTTACCGCTGTTGACCGGTGACGGGTCCTTGCTTCGCCAATGTTGAAGAATAACACCAGAGAAGCACGCCGAGGCAAGGTCAGAGTAGAAATTAGAAGCTTATTAAAGGACAGCAGAAAAGACTTCTCCCAGAGGAAGAAGGGGACCCAAGAGGTGGAATCCGTGGAAGTGCAGTTGTCTCCCCTTTTTATAGTTTTGGTGATGGAATGTAGGTGGGAAGGCCCGAGGGGTGGGACACAGGTGGGCCAAACAAGTAATCTGGGCAGGAAGGACTTCATTATCACTTCTTGAGATGGGCTATCTCCAAGTCTGTTGGGGGCTGTTCCCTGGGTTCCATTAACATTTCTTTGGGGTAGACTTTGGCCTAGGGCCTTTCTGGGACTTCATTAACATTCCATGAGTTGTCCTGCTTTCCGGAATCATTCTCAGCATGGCCTCTATTTTAGATTTCACTTGATATGATATTAGATCCGATTTACCTAACTCCACTGACTACCTAACTTCAAATCTGGCTTCATTCTCATCACAGAAAACTTAAAAAATGAAGACAAGTATAAATGAGCCGAGCACGGTGGTGGAGCCTGTAATCCCAGTGCCTTGGGAGGCTGTGGCAGGAGGATTGCAACTCTGAGGCCACTCAGTAACTTAGTCAGACCTATTTAAAAAAAAAAAAAAAAGCATAAAATATAAAATATAATATTAAGCTCATCTCTACCCCACCCCACCCCACCAATTCCAGGGACAATGCTAGTCTCTCCCTTCTATTTTTCCTATCTCCACTTTTTTAGATACCTAATGTGGTTATATCATTAACACTAGAACATTTTAACTTTTAGCATAAATTCTGTCCACGTCAAAATGTATAGTTCCACCTCATTACTTGGGAGGCCGTCAGAGCTGCTCGCTTCATTTGTAGACTCTGAGGTGGCTACACTTGGTCTGTGGACTTGTGCTGACCATCGTGCAGCCATCGAAGGTATCTGCCCTTGTCCTCAGTAAACAAATGAGAGAAGTGGGCATCAGGGGTTAAATGCCTTGCCCAGGGCCTCAAGGCTATGAGGGAAGATTCGAATCCATCTCCACCGCTACCTTAAATGATGCTGTTCAGCTTCCCGGCGGCCTCCCTTCCTGGCCCCGATGCTTGCTTCCTTCTTTCTTGGTACTGGGAATTGAACCTGAGGTACTTAACCTCTGAGCCACATCCCCAGCCCTTTTAAGTTGATTAATTAATTATTATTTCCCCCAGCCCTTTTAACATTTTATTTAGAGATAGGGTCTTCCTGAGTTGCTGAGTACCTTGCTAAGTTGCTGGGCCTGGCTTTGAACTCGCGATCCTCCTGCCAAAGCCTCTGAGCTGCTGGGATTACAGGCATATGCCACCAGTCCTGGCCCCCATACAGATTTCTGCACAGAAATTGTGATGAGTCAGAGCCCTGTGGGAGCCTTTACCAGTTCCACAGAGGGAACTTTATCTGGGGGGTTTTTGTTGGGGTAGGCAGAATGGGGTGGAATGACCTCACATCTCTCCTGCCCATTCCCTAAGACCCCTGGACATGGCGCCTCTTCACTGAGCAACAACAAATACGATGTTGGCCAGAGAGCGGAAGGGATTTGCCAAGGCCCAAGGCTGCAGAGGGTCTTGACTCAGATTCCCCACCCAGGGTGTGGACAAAGCTCAAGACACACAGAATAAGAAACCCAAGCTCCAAATGGCAGGGGCTAGGCCAGCTTGTTCCCAACCTGGCCTGAGATGCAAGGGATGTAACTGGTCAGGGAGGTGGTGCACTGAGGAGAGTGAGTGGGGTCTGGATCCGCAGCGACGAGTTGGTCCAAACCATGAGTGGGCAGATGTGTAGAGGCAGGAGGAAGGAACATATGTGAGGCTGGGAATGGGGCCCTGGGAAGACTGACTGTGTGGTCAGTGTTCCCAGGGTCTGAGAGCCTGGGAGTGGCCAGAGGAGGCCCAGGGAGGCTGGAGGGCCAGGGCCGGGGTGTCCTTCCCAACCCCCAACCCGCCTGGTAATTCCTGAGCCAGAGCAGGAGGAGGAAGTCCTACCAGCCACATTCAGCTGGTGAGTGGGAGGCAGGGCCTAGCTTCCCTTCCTGACAGGCCCTGGAGCTCCTTCAGCCTGGCCCTGCCCCCAGCCTGCCCAGCCCCTGCTGCTTCTGCCTGCTGGCTCAGGCAATGAGTCCAGGAGGCCAGCAAACAGGGAAGTCTGGTCTTGGAGAATCCTCTACGAGAGTGGTCTGACGTGTCTCCTGCTTTCTGGGACCAGACTGAGCTCTGGAGGCTGGGGCTGCTGCTTCTATGCCTCCAGGGTTAGCAAACTCCATCCCATGTTCCAAGACCCAACCCAAGTGTCCCTTGCCTGGGAAGCCCTCCGAGATTCCCTGCCAGGGCCAGTTGACAAATGCCCTTCCTCTGGGTTCCTGCAGCACTCAGAGGACACTTGGATGGAATGTTCACCCCCCGCCCCCCCTTGGTCCTCATTGTGCCCTCTCAGGACTGCCATGTGTCATCAGCCCCCCCCCTCCAGGTAGCACAGTGGGCTTGGAGGTCACCCGGGTTGCAGATGGAGGGTCTCCCAGATACTGGAGGGAAGAACTTGCAACCTCTCCCCTTCTTGCTCAGAGTGTTTCGAGGTCCATTTCCTCTTCTGGTTTGGGAGCCCCCAAAGGGCAGGGTCTGTATCCCTGTGGCCCAGAGGAGGTGCTGACCCCGTGGGAAAATCTTTGACCCTCCCTCTCTGCCTTCATCATGATAAGGGCCTAGGATGGTGCCTTGTATACAGTAGGCAGTTAATCAATTTTGTGACATCGAAAAAACTTGATCCTACTCTAGACTACCAGAAGCTTGCACTAGGACCTCGGGCAGGTCCCTTCTGTCTCCCGTCCTCATTTTCCCCAGCTTTAGAAGGAAACGTCTGGAGACAGCTCTCAGCTCCCTCCCAGGCAAAATTCCATCTTTTACGTTGAAACTTTTTTTTTTTTTTTTTGGTACCAAGGATTGAACCCAGGGCCCTTGTCGCCTGAGCCACATCCACAGCTCTTTTTCTATTTTATTTTGAGACAGGGTCTTGCTCCGTTGCCCAGGTTGACCTTGCACTTGCAATCCTCCTGCCTCAGCCTCCTGCATCACTGGGATTGCAGGTGTGGGCCACCAAGTGCCAGGCTGACTTTCCTGGCACTTTTCTGATGGCCCTGGTGGTCTCCAGGGCGTGAGCGAGGTGTTCTGTAGAATGCCCCTCTGGCGAATTTTTCTCATGTTTTCCTCACCGACAGGGTTCTGGCTTGGGAGGGTGACCACAGAGGTAAGATGCCATTCTCATTGCATCATATCAAAGGTATGTGTTATCGAGGTGACCGATCGCTGCTGCTCACCTTGGTCACCGGGCTGCAGAGGCATTTGCTGGATTTGTCCAATATAGAGTTATGCCCCTGACCTGTCTTCCTTGCTTCGCTGTTTGCACTGCCGGGAAGGAAGTCCCTGTGCAGCTGCCACCAGAGGACTTGGGGGATGCGCCCTTCCTGAGGTGCTGTGGGCATTTTTTTGGGGGGGAGAGAGAGAGAGAGAGAGAGTTTTAATATCTATTTTTTAGTTCTCGGCGGACACAGCATCTTTGTTGGTATGTGGTGCTGAGGATCGAACCCGGGCCGCACGCATGCCAGGCGAGCGCGCTACCGCTTGAGCCACATCCCCAGCTCCTGTGGGCATTTTTTGCTTCTGTACTTTCTGCTTTTCCAAATCCTCCCACAAAACACTACCAAAGCCTGGGAACCGGGGAAGATGGAGGCACCCAATTGAAGTGGCAGAGGGGCCACCACGGGGAAGGTCTCTCCTCTCAGGGCTCCCAGGAGGTGGGTGGGACAGAACTCCAGCACGGGACATGGAGGTCCAGGGAGGCTTGAATTCGCCTGGGGTTTGACTTTGTAATCCTGCTCTTCCTCACCATGTCGCGTCACTCTCTGAGCCTCAATTTTCTTACATGTACAGTGGGGACAAAGGTATCTCCTGTCCTACCTCATAGTGTTGCAAAGAATAAACTAGTGCTACACCCAGAGCCCTGGGGGTCAGGGGACTGCCCGCAGTGACCGTGGGCAGGGGTTATTCTTTCTCTCTTACTCCTCCAAGTCCTGTGTCCTCTGCCCAGCAGGTTTCCAAGCCCCTCTGACCCGAGGGCTCCCAGCTCTGCTGCAGATTTCCGGCCGCCCTCTGCCCTCCTATGGGGGTGCACAGATCAAGGGCCCCCGACTCCTTTCATCTTTTCTCCCAGGCATTCTGGGATGGGGTGGAAGGATGCCTGCTCTGGGCTGAGGGTGCGGCCCTGCCCGACAGTGACCCAGTGACATTCTGTGGCCTGGGAGGGTGTGTGTCCCTGTCTGGGCCTCTCCTGTGGCCCTGCAGTCTTTCCTGCGTTTGACCCTGTTGGTCTCCAGACTCTGCGCTGTGCATGGCCACATTTGGGCCTTGGACTTCCTGTCTGTGAATGGCCCCAGCGCCCCAGGGCCCCACGTGAGGCTGTGAGGGTTTGAACACTGGGGCGGCGGTACCGGTGGCAGTGCCAGGTGCGTCATCACTCAGCTCTGTCTGCCCAGGTGTGGCCGTCCCAGCCCTTCCTCAGCAGGAGGGCGGATGCTAGGGGAGCTGCCGGTGCCTGGCTGCCCCTCGTGGTGGTGGCTGGCCTCTGACGGAGCACAAGCTCACCTGCGCCTGGCTCTCATGATGTTGGGGACGCTTCTCCAGCGCCTTGGGGTGTAGGCCTTGGGGTGGCTTGGTTGTGCTCCCTGAACACCATCTGTGCGGTGCACACAGGCCCACCCCTGCAAGCCAGAACCCCCCCCCACAAGCAGCTGGACCCCTCTAGGAGGGGCAGCCATCAGCACAGGCCTCCCTGTCCCTCCAGCCCACTCCCACCACCCTCCGAGGCTCCCCACTGCTACTAGGACAGAAGCCAAGGAGAGGTCTTTGTACTTGCTGGTGTTGGCATCCCCTCAGGCCACAGGAGAGGCCGAAGGCCCTGGGGCTGCCTATTCACCCTCCCTCCTCCTCCTCCCCCCAGCACTCCGCCACCTGGGCTCTGTTGCCTGCATTCCTGCCCTGGCCCACTTGCACCTGGCCACCTCTGTAGGCTTCTACACCCCCACACATGCTAGTTTAGGGGCCCCTGTCCTGGGACCCTCTAGGCCTTTGTGTTCCTCCAACTCAGAGACCAGGCTTGGCTGGCTCACTGCTGATAGCACCTGGCCCAGACCCCAGCACCTAGTAGATGCTCAGTAAAATTCAGCTGAGGGGAGAGAGGAGGAGTAAGGCTTAGCCAAGAACTAGCTGGAGGAATAGTCCAGGCAGATAGCAGCTAGCACCAAGGCCTCAGGGAGGGTCTTGTAGCAGGAAGTGGGCAGGGAAGGGGATGAGGGCCTGCAAGGGGGGTCTGAGCAGTTGGCTTGGACCCCATCCAGACATCTCTGTACACTGTGAAGTGCAGTGGCAGGGGGGTGCTGAACCCACTCCAGAGCCTCAGGCTGGAGCCTGCCCGCCCCCTCCAGCCCATCCCACAGTCCTGAGCCTGGTGGTTTCCGATGGATGAGCTGCAGAAACTGCATGGGTATGCAGGGTGGGCCGGAGGTCCCCAGAGTGCCTGAAGGGTCTGGCTTCTCAGTCACTGCTCCAAGGGTGAGCCGGGGCTGGGCAAGGCAGGTAGGCCATCACCGAGCCAGGGCTACCAGGGCCCTGGATGAGGTGTGGGCAGGCCTCCTGATCCCTGCCATGGGACAGCTCTGGTCTATGGAGTCACTGCTAGTTGTGAGGGGCCAGGCCTCTCCCACCCCCTCCTTCCTGCTCTCAGCTGTGGTTTACTCAGGTAGAGGGAGGAGGAGTCCATAGACAGAGGACTGTGAATGCCCACTGCTCTCCGCCTCCACAAGGCCGACTTCAATAGCATCCACCAAAGTCAGGCTCAGTGGCATGTGTGCCTGCAGTCCCAGCCTCTTGGTTTTTGTTTTTGTTTTTGTCTTTTTGGTATTGGGGATTGAAATCAGGGATGCTCAACCACTGAACCACATTCCCAGCCTTTTTATTTTTCATTTTGAAGCAAAGTCTTACTAAGTTGCTTTGGCTCTGCTAAACTGCTGAGGCTGGTCTCAAACTTGTGATCCTCCTGCCTCAACCTCCGGAGTTGCTAGGATTACAGGTGTGTGTCTCCACACCCAGCTACTTGGGAGGCTGAGGGAGGAGGATTGCCTGAGTCAGGAGTTCAAGACAGGCTTGGGCAACCCAGCAAGATCCCCATTTTCAAATGCATACATATATACATAAATAGCAGCTAACATCTGCTAGTACTTTGGGTTGGGAGATAGTTCCTGGTGGTGTTCCAGGGCCAGTGTTGCTCATTAAAAATGTTGAATGATTTTTAGGTATTAAGCAATGAGTTGCTGCTTTACTTAAAAAAATGTTTTAAGTAAAATAAGGCACACAGAACCACTTGCCCCCACGCTAGACCAGCAAGTGTCTCCTGCGCGCATAATCCTGGAAGGTGGGTGGGATTCCTAACTCCATTTTACTGATGAGTAAACTGAGGCCCGAGAAGGCAGGGTCCCACATCAGTGAAGGGAAGAATTAGATTTTGAACTTTTGGCTGCGGATCTTGAGTCAGTTCTCGCTCCCTGGTCGGTGCCTATTCTGCTGGGCATGAGCCAGGCCATGGTCTCTGCTCTCAGGGTGGGGACAGACACACCCAGAATGGACTTGGGATGTGCCTCTATCAGGGTGTGTCAGGAAACATGTCCTAGCAGGGGTGGCATTTACTCAGGACCTCCAGGATGAGGAGGGTGGGAAGCTGGCCACTGGGCGGGCATTCTTGGTGGGGGTTAGAGCCTAACCAGAGGCCCAGAGGGGTGGTTAAAAATAAAGAGTACTTCCACTGCTCGATAATGAAACCATTGTACTGGCCACATCCTCTGAGAACCTCAGCCACTGCGCAGGGCCCTCCAAGTTGGCAGAGGCTCCAGGTGGCAGGCTGCATCTGTCCTGCAGACGCATGTCCACGGTGCCCTCTTCTGTGAATGGGCAGGACCACGAACAGTGAGAACTGCTAAATGCCCACCGCCTCACCTCCTCCTCATGTGAGCCCTCAGGGGGATCTGCTGTCTTGGCCCATGTCACAGGTGGGGGCATACAAGACCCAGAGAACTGCGTGCTCCAAGTCACACATCCAGGGAGTGGCAGAGTTGAATCTTGAACCCAGGTCTGTGGGTTCAAAGTCTGTGTTTTTAAGTTCTCTATTATCCTAACTCTAGAAAAGTCCAGAACTTTCTGTTGAATGTCTGGGGATGAAGCTACTGATATGCTGGCAAATATTTAACAACCCGTTCTCTGAAAGAAAAACAAAGGCTTGATTTGTAGCCTTTGCTGATTTCCAAGGTATAAATGATCCCTCCCTGGCTGATGTCAAGCTACCCATGTGACATCACTGAATATGGCATCGAGAAGAACACAATCAGCTCCAGCACATCAATGGGAACATATCCACCCCCACCCAGTCCATGTGGCCAGGAAAGGCCATTAGATGTCTCAGGAGTGAATGAGGGCTGGGAAACCTGCTCCTCCAGCCAGGGGCCCACCTGGGTCCTGGGAAGCTGCGGTTAATCTTTAAGCCAGCCTTGCAAACAAGTGCAGCCATTTCGGCAGCCTGGCCTGGCCTGGCCTGGAGTTGGCTGTGTTGCTAATCTTCATGGAGAAACCTTGAGCGGCCCCTTTCTCCTGTGGGCTCAGTTTATTTCCACACAAGGCTCTATTCTTTGGGCACAAACCTGGCCACCTTCATGGACACTTGTTAACTTAGCTTTCCCAGGATTTTTTTTTTTTTTTTTTTGGTGGCCATGTTTGAAATCCATATTCTTCAGTGTTCTTTCCTGTTTGATGGGAGAGGGGACTGGGCTGGGGAAGTGGGTGGACCTGTCCAGGCCCAGCAGGTGGTGACTAGCCTACTTGTGAACCCAGACCAGTCAGGCTCCAGCTCCTGCGCATTCCTGCTCTCCGGGAAGCTCCACCGCACCCTGAGGCCTCAGTCTCTCACTTGGGAAGATGCCCCTCCCAGATCCTCTCCACAGGGACCTCTGTCCAGGGAAGCCCAGGCCTGGTGCTACTCTGACCTGGCAGGGCCTAGCTTCCAGCCTGGGGAAGGGAAATGGAAAGGAGACAGGTGGTGGTCATTTAAACCAGATCCCTGGTCCATGATTCCAGGAGGATAGGTGAGGAGCCAAGGGTGGGGTGCCCATCCCCAAATAGGGCAGCCCTGCACCAGGGTCAGGAGATGGTATGCACAGTCTTCATGGCGGAAAGCTGGCTTTCCTCCGCGTCCCTATTTCTTGCTATACTTCCTGCCCCACTGGGTCCGGAAGTACTGAGCCTCTTCATTGCCTTGGAAGCTGCCTGCTACCCAAACACCGGCCTCAGCCCCCTCCTCAGCAAAACCGCCAGCGGTCTGCAGACTGACTCTCCGACTCCCCACGGGCTGCCAGTTGTATATATATGTACATTTTCTTATGCACTTAAAATGAACAGTGATGAAACTTGCTCTTTCCCACCCTGCCCCTCCTGACCCAGTCCTGACTTCAAGAAACTCGGTCAAGGCCAAAGTCAAGGCCTGCTCTTGGCAGCGCCTCAGTTTCCTCACCTGTAAAATGGGACTGATCCTGGGCCACCCAGCCCAGGTAGTTGTGCGGATCAAATCCTGAAATGGGCCAGAGCCACCCAGCAGGGCTCCTGGGCAGAAGCAGGGTGCTGACTGCGGACAGGCGGATTGGGTGGGCGGCCGGGCCGAGGGCCTTTTGGCCGGG